TTTGTTTGGAATTTTAAAGTTTCGGATTCTTTCGGATATCCATTTAAGTTCGGGTTCGGTTCGGGTAATACCCATAACCCGAAATACCGTAAAACAAGATCTATTCGGTACTTATGTCGGATTCGGATCGGTTCGGATTCCTTTATATCGGGTCGGGTTCGGTTCGGATTTTCGGGTTCGGTTTTTTTGCCCAGCCCTAGAAAATATGCTAAAATACTTAAAAAGTCAAAGTTAGAGAAATAAACAAATAATAATTACGTATTAAAGACACAGCCAATTCCATTTACTGAATCCATTTTTTTTTTTTTTTTTTTGATCCATTTACTGAATTATGCTTTTCGTTTCATCTTATTTTGACAACCTTTTCGTTTCATTTTACTATATGTTTTTCTAAGTTTTTACATAAATCAAGAAAATCACTAGATTTTACTATATTTTACCTTTATTTAATACATTATGTTATTTAATTACGTTAATTAATAAGCTACAAACATGAATAAAACTGAAAGTTATCAAATAAATGCATTAAATGAAAACAGAAAACGATATTAAAAAATGAAGCAAAATTTGAACTCTGAAACGTTAATTATTATGAAGACTCTTCACCAAACGCAACTTGGTCACTAAGTTACATATTCCCTTTCTAAATCGTAATTAATCTCCTATTGATACCCAAATTGTGAAGATCCTAAGCTCAATCCATTCCTTAGACTCTCAATCGCTTAAGTTCTTTGCTGAATGATCGGATTCGTTTGTGTGAAAGAAGAGAATATAAACGATAAAGAAAACGAGACACAAGATCTTGTTTACCCGGTGTTCACCGCACTCCTCCACCGGAAGAGCCGCTATACATCACCGGGGCTAGCTTAGCTAGCAATCCACTAGAGTAACTCAAACTCGAGCTCTCATCGGTCTACAATGGTGCTCTCTCTCTCTCTCTATGCGATCTGTTGCAACAGACTCACAAGATCGACTTACTAAAGAGATGAGGAGGAAGACGACTTTATGTTTTTCGTTTACAAAGACTACACACGTGCAATACATGTGACTTGGTTATAACCTAAACCGGCTAAACCAACTTCCTCACTCTTTGGTTAAGCATACCAAGAGATAATTGCTGATTAAGGACATAAACCTTCACACAAATCAAATAAGTAGAACTTTCTATACAAAATAAGTGTCGTGATGTGATAGTGGAAGCATGGACTTTGAGAAATAAAAACAAGTGATAGCGTGAACATGGATTTTTTTTTTTGTGAACATGGATTCTCTGGCATGGGAATAATATTGTTGGTCCATTTTCTAAGTATTTTTCCGAATACCAAATACATTAATTCGTGTTGAATGATTTTTTTCTTCTATTAACTTGGGGATATCTCAAATGATGGAGAAGCACAAACTAATTTTTAAAGGAAGATACAATCCACGAATAAACCATTTTCCAGAGCATTCATATGAACTCTAAAACATGATTCGCCAATCAGATGGGTCGAAACTAAAATGTTGATGTCCTAATCCTACATTTTTACCACTCGACCACAATCATCCGATCATTCGCGTTGATTTATAACGGTCCTAAAACTCATGTCATTAAGTTGGTTTCGGCTAGGAAGATCAAATTTGTGTAGTAACTCAACCTATAAAGTACACTAAGCAAAGGGCTGGTTAATTTGCGCGACCTCGTGCCCCTAAGGCCACCCGCATTGGAGGGTTTTAATGGGGTTCATAGAGAGAGTATGCACGTTTACCGAGGAACCCATTTCCTCTCACCTCTTCTGTATGAATCGGGTTCGCTGATGTCATGATGATGTCATGGGGGCGCCACGACACGTGGCGGCTCTCCACTGGTCCAATTTTTTTTTTTTTTTTTTTTTTTTTTGGAAAAGTAAAAGAAAAAAAAAAAAAAAAAAAAAAAAAAAAAAAAAAAAAAAATAGGTGGCGAACCCACCTCGGTATCACTGATGCAAGTGCTCTAAGTATATTCAGTTCAATCTGTTGAAGATATAACACCATAACAGGCTCCCAACAAAAGTAATGCTGCTAAGTTTCAAAAAAAAAAAAAAAGAGTAATGTTGTTTTCTTGGGGGATGAATATTTTTTTTTATTAAACTGGAAGTATCTTAAACCCATAAACAGGTCCAAACTAATTCTTAAAAAAGGTGCAGCCTAAGGGGATGGGTATTGGTGGGATTGGGGAAAGTCTCTTAACTTTTGTTTTTTTTTGGTCGATTTTAACTAAGGGACATCCCTTATTGTCCTTTAACTAAGGGATTTTCTTTCTCTTTTCCCCTCGGTTTCCGTGTTTTTCCCCTAAGGAATATCTTAAGTGACTACCAATACTCATGCCCTAAAACTGGAGGATGAATATCATCTCAGCATACTGCTGTTTATGCTCTGAAGAGGATGAAAACAGGGACCACGTTTTCGTTGTCCTGCGATTATAGTTCACGAATTTAAAGGTTAATTATAATATTTTACATCTTTGATTGTAATTATAGTTCATCTTTATAAAAGTTGTAAGCGTGAATTATTATCATATACGATATATCGTCAAGTTTTCAACAAGTTCACCTACAACATCCATGTCTTTTTAATCTGTATCTTTGAATTTTGTAAAGACCTTATAGACTTATAGTGAAACAGTTTACTATTAAACCCGTCTTGTGGAACATGCTAAAAAATATAACCAAAGAAATATATAAAGCACTAGGCTTTTAATAAAGGAAATATAGAAAATAAATAAACTAAATAATCAATAAATCAAAATTTTACTAGTAGAAAATAGCAATAATAATTACGTATATCTCACTCTTTAGTCTTCATTAAAGACGCACGCAATTCCATTCGTTACTGAATAAGATGCTATTTTTACGGGACTCTTCACCAAACGCTGCTTGCTTACTAATTTGCATATTCCAAATTTTATTGGTATTTGAATACATCTCTTATGATTTTTCCATTTTTCGGCATTTTTTTCCGTTTTAATATTATTCGGAATTGTTTAAAGTATAATCAACCTCTTCAATTATTGATACCCAAATCATTCACCTATTCCTTCCTTAATCAAACTAGTGAGGTGGCGTAAATAGATATCGTATAGTATAAATAGTAGTTAGAATAAAAAGTAGTACCCAATAGCCATCCATGTAAATTCTAATGTGTCCTTCCTTTCTCTTCACGTAACCTCTCATCTCTCTCTATATATAAACGCATAAGCAACACAAATCAATCATAAACCAAAGAGAAAAAAAGAGAGAATCATGGGAACTGTGAGTTGGCTTCTCAGCTTTCTAATAGGCCATGCCAACAAGCAAGAAAGCATGGAGAACTTTGACAGAAACGGCGTCGTGGAAGGGTTTAAGATGCCGTTGCATTACCCAAAATACACAAAGGATGATTACGAGAAGATGGAAGAGTGGAGACTTGATTTGCTTCTCTTGGAGTACGGATTGCTTGTCTTCCATGACACTACTCTCCATGAGAAGCGAGCTATTGCGATCGAAACTTTCCTGTGGCCTCATCCGTAAGAGTGGAGAGTGTTACACCGATGGGAATAGAGGAACTACAAACCGGTATATCAATCTACTGAATATATCATGAGAAGACTTTGATGTTCTTTTAGTGATTTTTTTTTTTGAACAACGTACTTTTAATGATATTATATCGCTCATATACTATATTTTTCATTAGATCTCTATTTATGCTTCATTCACTACATAAGTTTGATTTTGTATGAATCTTCAACTCAATAAAGTATGTGTTGTTTGTCTTAATATCAAGAAGACGATGATAAATCTTTACTTCTTATCTATATATGCCTCTTTTTCGTACTTAGAGCATCTCTAACAATGACAACAAATTTGATGTTTTGGTGTCATATGTATTTGTCATCTCCAACAATGACACCAAATTTTTCACCAAAACTAATATTATATACTATTTGATGTTTTTAGTTTTAAATTTCTTTATATTTTTATTGTTTATAATTGGTAAATAATTATTTTATTACATTTAGATTATTATTTATATTTTATTATTGATAAGTGCTAGATAATAATAGACATTTATTGATTTATTATGAATAAAGTAAAAATAGAAATTTAATTTTTAAATTATGTGAAAATAAATTAAAAATAAAAATAGTACATTATATTTATGTTTAATTACAAATTTGATAATAATTAAACTCTATTATTAAATAAAATATAATCAAATATATATATTAAAAATTTGCTGTGATAAATATTGTTACACCAAATACTGTATCAAATTTAGTGGAATGATATCAATTTTGATGTCTCGTTGGAAATGAAACTACACCAAAATTAGTATTTTAGTGTTATTGTTAAAGATAGACTTATGTGTACAATACCAGCATCTTATCAGTTCAATCGTAGCCGGACTTGTGTAAGAATGTAACAAAGCAAAAAACATGATCAAGCCAAAATAAAACTCAAAAATCCTCATCATGCAAATTATTATCGGTCCAATCATTAGATAGGATTCAGTAGCTAAGCAAGAACGAGGCTATGTTACATGACTCAATACACGCATATAATGTCACTTTCTTACTACTTTATTATGAACAGAAGTCTCATGTTATCATCAGTTCAAGACAGCTTGCAAAATAAAAGAAGATTCCACACCTTAATAAACATTGTTTTTATCCATGAATCTGACGGTCCATATTGAACCAGCTGTTCTTGTTGACACTTGAACCAGTGATAGCTTGACTTGAACAAGCAGAGACAAATGTTACAACCTCAAGCGAGTCAAGAATTGAAACACCAATAAGATCACTCTTAAATCAAAACGGCTTTTAGGTTTTCACGTAAAACCGAGTAAACAGATCTCCACCCTTCTTCTGTTGGATGAAAGACATCCCAAAAGAAGGAAGTCTTTGGATCTTCGCAAACTGTATACTTCTTCTCGCCCTTCTCATCCACATTTGAGCACGAGTCATTGCTTGTAATCCCCACACAACACGGTTTCAAGGGGTTCACAAACCTCGTAAACCCTGACAGATTCAAAAAGCTTGTAAGAGTAACATTTAGGACCCAAATATATCAACTTTAAAAAAAAAAAATTTACCAGGTTCTGCTTTCTTGTTCTTGATGACAGTCAAGAAGGCATTGTAGAGATCAAGAATGACGAAAGTGGAAGGTTTGGTCTCATTGTTGAGCTTAACCACGGCTCTACGCAACAAAGTGTTGTGAAGACTCACGAACGCGTTATCTGATGCGTTGCAATGTTTGAATGAAGTATATGTGGTTTTGCTAGGGAGACACCCGAGTGGCTGCAGTGAAGTCACTGCTATCTTCTTCACTCCCAGCTTGTGGATGCGTCTCAAGTTTACCTCAATTTGATCAACAACTTTCTTGATGAATCCCAGGAACTCCTGCAAAATATAATTTGCGCTTATGTTTACATGTTATAAGTTATAATTTGGTTGCGGCAGCGGTTACCTTCAAACTTTTTGTTCAAGAACAATGTTTCTTGTTTTTTATCAAACATATTTCAAAACATTCAAACTCAAACGAGACGTTATCTGTATTGGGAATTTTTTTTCAAATAGAATCTCTCACAAATTCTACTAAAAATTAATTAAAAGTCTTTCGAACTTTTAAAAAAAAATTCACGAGAAAATCTTACTTGAGAATTTTTTGCATGAGTTTCTCAACTTTTTGAACAATTCTCTAATTAATTATTAATACAATTTAAGAGAAATTATTTTGAAAAACCTTTGATAATGATGGTCCAGCGATTTCTAGCAGAATTAAAATTTATCTTTTTTAATTTTAAATATCTTCGGTTTGTTTTTGACTAGTAATTAGTAAATAATTATCATTCTGTTTTTCTTACCCTCATGGGTCGTTTTTGGAGAATGAAAGTGCCGTAGTCGTTGCCTGCGTTGCTGACGAGGGCAAGGGAGGAGTTGAGGTCGGAGGGAGAGTAGATGTTGCCGGAAGAGAGGACACTTTGGAAATAATCAATCTGAGTTGTCATGTTTGGCAATGGATTATTGAATGTCTTGAACACTCCTGTCCCTCCGTACGCATAATTCATTCCGTACAACAGCCGTTCCTTTCCCGCGTAATTCTTCCACGTGTATGGAATCGGTGACTTTATCCCCACGTATCTTGCTGCACTCAAAAGGTAAAAAAAAAACTGAGTAAAAATCTTAACATCACTCATAACTCATAAGTTTTAAGAAGAAACTTAAACATTTATGCATAAATTTCTGCAGAAAACTAACAGTTTTAATTTTTTATTTTTGCTAAATATATAAATATCATTTGGAGAAATTAATAATAGGTTTTATAATAAGTTGCTGACAAGTTGTTAAAACTAGTACTATGATAAAAAGTAAAAATATATATATGAAAGCAACCGAGTAGCTAAAATTTCCACGTCAGCATTTGATAGCTGGTAGCAACTCTTAATTGTCCTTTTCAGTAATTAGAAAGTTAATCTAAATTTAAGTAACCTAACAAAACAATATGGTTTGTGTGACCCATAATGAAGTGTTTGTTAGTGTAGGTGTTGAATCTGGTGGCAGGCCACACTATCCATTCAACATTTGTGACAAAGAATGAGAGAGAGAGAGGGAGAGAGAACCGAGAAAATCAGTGGAGATGCGGCCGTCGGAGAAACGACCGGAGGGTTTCCCAGGAAAACTGACACCGTAAGGCATTTTCCAGGAATCGGCGAGAGACTTCCTTATGTTTCCCGTATCTGCATATGAATCTCCGAACACGAACAACCTATTTGGTCTCAAACGCTTCAAGTTGTCATGGTGAACATGGTCCGATTCAACACCTTCAAAATATTAAGAAAATATAGCAATGGATTTCAGGGAATATACTTATATATGTGATCAAGAAGTTTTTATTTATTTGTGTAATTATGTATAAATGTACAATTACCTAATAAGAAGGATGAGAATGAGACGAGAAATAGGAAGATAGAGAATAGTAGTTTTACAGACTCCATTGTTTTTCTGTGTATTAGAGTATCAGATTCTGATCAAAAGGCCTCATTGTGTGTGTGTACACATGTGTGTATCTTTTGTTGTGTTAAAGGACAAAATGTGGAGAGAAAAAAGGAGGAAGCAGTACATATGTGGTGGGGATAAGTTGAAGGATGAGAGACCTTTGGGAATTTTATAGTTTTATTACTTTCTTTTCAACGTCTTTTAGGCTTTATATAGTGATGCCAATTACCAAAGGATATTTTATAAAGCGTTGAAGAAGGAAAGCGTTTTCTATTAAGTTAAGTTCGTACTAGTTAAAATGTTAATCAACTTGTTAATATTTTCTATTTAAAGAGTGTTATATGTCAATAATATCTGAAATTGGTTTGTCGAGATTAGAGAGTAAACCAAACGAGAACAGCCTAGTGGTCTTGCCATAATTTTGACTCCAATACGGATCTGGTTCCAATCATACTAGTTACTGGAGATAAAATTTAAAATTTAGGTTTCTCCAGCGTCCGGTGATTAAGGTGTACTCCAACCGATAACGTAGACTGATAGGGACACTTGCCACTAGTCTGGATCTACCTTGGTAGATGTCACGATACATCAGATTATTCAAAAAAAAAAGATTTAAAGAGTAAGGTATTTTTATTTATTTATTAGAGTATTTGTACTCCATACACACACAAAATCTCATAATTAACTACATACCCTAAATTTCCTTCCATGATATCTTTATTCATAGACACCAACCTATCCCATCAAAAGCATTTTTTCCTAATTTCATTCTTTGTTTTGGGTTTCTACTAAATTCACTCAATCTTATATCTGGCTTTTCTTACGTCTTAACCAAGAGTACTTGGTGTGTTACAAAAAAAAAAAAAACGAAGAGTACTTGGTAAAGACTTTCAAATTGAACATTCGTTGATAATAGTTTAAGAGGTATGAAGATTCTACTTATGGGATACGAATTTGGTAAAAGACAAACTACTGAAAAAGAGTTGGTGTCGGTTTGAAGATTATAAGAACAGGTACATGCCATTTTTTGTATCAATACATGCCATATATATGTCAACTCAACCATATGGATTGTTTTTTATTATTACAAAAACTTTGCTAGCTTACATGAAGGCACACCAAACAACTTTAGTGAAGTCGGTGACAGGGAAGGCTTCTCTCGAGTCACCGTCTTGCCCTTGCATCCAAATATTTATGCAATTGTAAAAATTTCGACCTCTATTTTTTTGCAAGTTAAGTGCCATATATTTTTATTTTGTGCAATTTTAAAACCCAATGTCAACATATAATTTAGTTTAATATTTTATCATAATCAATATCTCTTTTACACGTATGTTAAAAATTGATTTCCTGATTTACAATATAAGTTTTCTTTAGAAAAAATATTGAGATCATAATACTAAATGGACCGCACGTCTGAAGGTAGTGACCTCCCACCCATATAACATTCCCTCAACAAGTTAGTCAACTTTATTATATAATACGAATATTATATATACCAAGACTTTACATCAAATAACTCAAAAACATCCTAACACAAAAAGAATCAAGAGAGGTTGTCATGGCGCAGAGGATCACGACATTGGTTCTGCTCATTGAGATATTGTTTCTAGTAAACTATGTGAGTCAAATCCCCACAACCGCAGCGGATAACGACGGAGGTGTGATTCACGTCGCCGGGAAAGTGTTGTGCCAAGACTGCACTCTTAACTACGACAAATGGATCAACGGCTCTGAACCCATCAAAGGTATTAACTCCTTAACCGGTTAACTCATACCCCGGTCTGAAGATTTTCAAACCGGATTAGTTAACCAAAATCGTTACATTTTGTATAGGAGCTGTGGTATCAATCACTTGTATAGACGAAAGGGAGAGAGTGAGATACTATGGCAGTGACAAGACAGATGAGAGAGGCCAGTTCGATCTTATCGTCGACAAAGTCCTCTACGGTGGCAAGAATCTCAAGGCTCATCTTTGTAAGGTTCGGCTCGTGTCTCCTGCTGACCAGTCATGTGGTATTCCGACAGATTTTGGTAATGGTCAAAGCGGAGAGAAGCTAGTTCAACCATTCATGGTTTTCAAGGATCTGGTAAAGTTTGTGGTCGGACCATTTTATTATACCACCCCTATGTGTGACACCCCTAAATATGAAAACAACTACTAGACTTGGATGATTTTGACTTTTGATTAAGGTCATTTAAATTTAGTGATCCACGATCCTTTACTCTATATATATTTCTCAATCATGTGATATGTGACGTATTTTTGCTTCCTTAATTTTGTTGGTTCTGGTAAATGTAAAATTATAATACTCTTTTTCCCTTGTTACATATTCATCTTTCAATTAAGTGACTGATGTCAAATATATGATCAATTTAGAAGTACTAAAAGTGATACATTATATATAACATGTTCATAATTGGATGAAACTAAAATTTGCAAAATATATATTTTTAAAAATTAGTATGAGTTGTAACTTGATAAATTTTTAAACCAATTAACATATATATATATATATATATGTTAATTGGTTTAAAAATTTATATATATATTTAAAAATTACAACTTATACTAATTTTTAAAAATATATATTTTGCAAACATATAAGAATTTGGTAGCCACGTTTATAATTTCTTTCAACAATTTATATATATATATATATATTGTTGAAAGAAATTATAAACGTGGCTACCAAATTTTTAGAAGACTTAAGGAATTTTATGTTACAGATCTACAATCTCTCATATGTATGGAAACCAAGGAAGTTTGAAACAATTTTGAGCAAAAAAACGGCCTCACTATTCTCTAAGGAAATTAGGAAAAGGAACTATATGACAAAAGTCTATATCTCAAATCCTGATATTCTTTTATTCCTCACACAAAGAACATAGGGGACTGGATACAATACAAACATGATGAAGATAATAAAACATATCAAAGGGAGAAAGAGAGAGTATTACAAAGTATACTCATAATCTGCTGATTCCGAGGGGATCCGAAGCTTGCCAAAGATTAGAAGTTGCCCAATTTCTAGAGGGAGATAAAGAAAACTCGTTGTCTTAATCAGTTGCCTCTTCATCGTCAGCCTTCTGCAATCTTCGATGATCCATATCTTAAAACACTTTCCTTACAAGAACACAAAATCACTTAACAAAGACATTAAGTAGTAGCCTCTTTTTGTATTTAAGCCATCCCTTAAAGATGTAAACCTCTAGATAAATCAGAGGTTGTTCTCTTCTTCACCTTAGGGGATGGCCATTCACCTTTGATTTGTGGTATTTTGCCAAATTAAGAGAAGGTTTCAACGAAGGAGGCTCTCTATAGGGTTTTATAGCTTCTTTTATTTGCTTGTCTATGGTCATGAAACATTTAATAATTACACTAGAAACCCAACTTACAAAAACTATAGTGTTCTTTCCACTTTTTCTCATTTGTTTTTCATTTTTTAAAGTTAAAACAACTTTCTGTAACAATTAACCAATATATTTCATGTTTGTTAATGTTCTTTCTAGAGGATATTCCTTTCTGTATAATTGACGATGCAAGATGTTATGTTCTATCATATACACATGTATTTATTTTGTATTTGAAAATTAATGCATGCGGAATTACACAAACATAATAATATGAAAATTTCTCCAATGTACAAGTTTAACTTAGAGACTCGTATGAGAGCTGGTGGAAGGAATTTCTTTCAAGGATTTTACAATTAATTTTGCAGGAGGACAAAAAAGCGAATATATTATTGGTGTAATGGGGAATAAATATATGGTGTAAAGGGAGTCTTAAAGTGATTAAAAATCATATTCAAATATAAGTGGTAGCAGATGATGATTGAATCGAGGGGAGTCTTATGTGAATATGCTTGGAATTTAGGATAATCTCATGGAATATGCCATAACCCGAATTGCCTTTTTCACAAATACACACTCATGAGTCATATGGTGACATTCACAAAATCAGATTGTGTCATTTATTAAATACTTAATCATGTATGTAACCTGCTCTGTCAAGAATGTACATTTCTTAGAAAGCATTATTCTTTTGAGATGCAAATATTCTGTTTAGTAGCTTAACCTCTAAAAAACAAGAATAGAGAGATATCATTAGATTTGAAGAAAACAAGTAAGTTATGGGTTTGTGTGAAAGAATATGATAAAAAATAATAATTGTTAGTTTCCTTGAGATAAAAATTTGGTTCAGTTTCATTATTTTTATGAAGATCAGTTTATTGGGTTTTCATGGAGTATTTGTTTTTAAAGAAGACATCAAATTTATATTTAAAGCCCAAATATTATTATAGGCCCATTAGTCGACGAAGAGTTTTAACGCCATTTTGAAGCTCCCACATCGGGAAGCTGAGAGTAATTGGCAGAAGAAGTTGTCTTATAAATAGTGGCTCTCTTCAACAATAATGAATCACGCAGCCATGTGGTGAGCACAAAGCGAACTATTCTTTCGCCTTTTACTAAAGAATACCGTGTGCTCTCCACGCCAAGTGGCATACGCCTATTTTTGGAGGGTCCCGCTTTCGAGTGGGCCCAACAATAATATAATGAAATTTTTGATTTTAGGTATTCGAACTGGATTATATAAAATGAGGCTTGTTAGGTGAAATTAATCTAATTGGGCTTGTAACGATTTGGCAAAAATATGAGCCTTATGTTGGGCGGGCTCATTCTGTTTAAGTTGGGGTTAACAATCCTAATCTTATTAATAAAAGAAAAATCAATAAAAGCTTGTGATTTGGAACAATATGAGCCTGAAGTCTCTCGAATGGCCTTCATTCTGTTATGTTGGGTTTCACAAGCCCAAGATTATTAATAGAAGAAAATTCAATATTCTACCAAAACAAAAATTTCAACATTTCTTTTGTTTTGTAAAAGCAAAGTTCAGTCATTACGGGGTCAGCATAATGCATATATATTTGGTGAATGGTGAGGATTGTGGGACACAATTGAAAGTGATAGGGACAAGAGGATAAAACATGCATGATCAAATGTTTTGTACGTTACAAGAGAATGATGTTTTTCTTATGTCAAACGAGAGAATGATGTTGTCTCTTCAATAATACTCATTTTTCCTCTCAGTCTCAACACAGGTTGAGTTTTTGCTATTTGTTTCTTTTAGCCATTAAATACAGATATAATCCTTTTATGCCATCTGATAATCTTCCATACATTTTAGTTTTAAGAAAAAATTATACGTATGCATTATAATGAAATCTCTAACATGGTGTATGATATATATATGATTATATGAGGAATGACGAATGGGGCAATCATGCAACCATTAATTAGAATTTAGAGGAAGTCATTGACTCATTATAATTGGTGTTAGAGATGTTTAAGGCCCCCCACTAGCTAGTATTAGGACACTAAACAAGATTATCACAGAGCACTTTGGTCATTATCCATTTGCTAATCTACAGTTATGATATTGTAATCTATAGTTAACTAAGTTATCTATTAATATTGGAATATGATTAGATATTGATGGTATTACGCCTCAACTGGACAAGACATCATATACGTACTTATATAATAATGCACACTAGAGTTTCACCCGCACATCCGTGCGGGTATATTTATTATTTTATAAATATATAACTAAATTTTTTATAATATATGATTTATATTTTAGTTTTAATTATAATCATATCTAATAACGAAATAAAGAAATACTTATTTTATAAAAAATATATTTAAAATTTTGGTAAGATCTTGTTAGATTTTTTCAACAGATTTTTTTATATTTAAATTTATTTATTATTAATGTTCTTATTAGTTATTAAGATATTGTGAAAATCATATATATTTGACTGGTTAATGTAACAATAAAATATGTCAATTAAGTAATTAATAACATGGTCCAACATGACTTCTAAATAGTAGATAAATTTGGTACTTCTCTTTTAATAGAGAAGATGTTCTCTCAGAAATGAAATCTAAATAGAATATATGCGCTAGATTGCAATCCACGAAAAGATCTCATAACATCTAAAACCGATAAACTATTTTGTTGCAATTCTTCTTGCCAGGACTAAGCATTTTATCCGTTATATTTGATTCGATGCGTTATTCGTTTCGATTCGATTCAAAAATTACGGATATCCGTAAACTTTCGAATCAAAGCAAATAATAAAATTCAATATCCGTTAAAATCGAAACAAATCACAAATATTAAAATTTTGGGAAACGGATATCCGATCCGATTCGGAAATATATAAATATATATATCTTGATTATATTTAAAATTTAAAATATATTAAATTATATAATTATTATTTTATCACATGATTTTAAACAATTATATTCACATTATTACTTATATAAAAATATTACATAAACGAGAGAGAAAATTTATGACAATTATATTTTTTCCTTAAATATTTTGTTATTATAATTGTATCTTAAACTTAAAAAAATTACAAACTATGTAAATTCACTAGTTCTTTTAATTTTTATTTTATATATTATGCAAAAAAAATATTTTTGCAAAGCAAATTTGTATCAAAATTTTAAGATTATTTGTATTAATTAAAATGGATGAGATATCCATATATATTCGTAAATATCCGCAAATATCTATTTAATTTTCGAATATCTGTAAATTTTTTAGTAAAGTAAATACCAAAATTAGATATCCGTAACCTTCGAAATAAATCACAAATACTTTAAAAATCCGGATATCCGATCCGTGCCCACGTCTACTTCTTGCAAACCAAAACAAATGCATCGGTAAAGATTTAAATTCGCACTAATATTAACCATAGCAAAATGGACTGCCACACACTGCTTAAATTATAACAAAAAACAAAAAAATTGAAAGGTAAGATTGTGTTTCAGATTCAGAATACGAACATGCGTAAGTCCACGTGGAATTCTAACTGTTTATTGGTCTGCAGAAAACAGTACTTATCATTTTCGTTACATGGTAGCTTTTTGGTGGGCTCTTTTTGATTTGGAGGCTATATGATAGAGACTAGTCATCAGCTTGGTATATTATCACAAAATATAAAATATATTATTTAATTATTTCCTTTTTTCGAAAAAAAATTATTTCTAAGAAACAAATGTAATTACTTGCTGCATTTTGCCAAAAATAATCTCATAGTCAGTATTCAACTTTGGTGAATAAAAAAAAATTGGTGAACGAAAATTTTTTTCACCAATTTTTTTTGGTGAATGATATATATAGTTTTTATTACCATCAATCTAACCCATTTTCGTAATTGCATAGCAATGAAAGTGATTATAACATTTCTTAGGCTGAAGAAAATTATCTAAATATACGTGATGCATACAAATGTGCACATCAGTCATGGGG